ACAGATTTTGCATAACTGTGGCTTCAGCAAAGCCACAAACAAAGGTTAGGTTAGTGTCTGGTGAGTGAGAAGAAAAGAGTTTTACATCATCCACAGAAATCAAAACCAGCTCAGAGCCTAAGAAAGCACTGCAGGGAATCCCAGCAGGCCTCCATGAACATGATTAACAATAGCACTTTAAAGGTGTACATTTTCAAATTATGTGTGAGGCTTTAACTCCTGAAAAATATGATGAAAATCATGTGGCTAAAGGTCATGCAATGCTGTGAAAATTCAGAAGATTAAGATCATTTGATTAGATGACATGAGAACCGTAAGATCAAAGCATCTGTAATTCCAAGTTTCAGGATAATGGAAATTTGTAAGGCTCTTTGTGTCAAGAGATTGTAAACAGCTAGAGGAGCACAGAGGGTGAGTTCACAGAACACTGCAATGCGTGGGTAGATGCATCTACAGGTGTGTGAATGTAAGTGAGGTAAGACAATGTGAATAGATTTTGTCCTTTTTCCCACACAGGCCTCTTTTGCATGTGCATTATGTTCCCATATGTTGTAGTATGGTACTCAAATACACAGTGTTTATCTACAAGTTGTAATAATGGATTCTATTACAATTAAGAGTTTTGACGGGTGCCTATCACGGTTATATAGGCCTATTATAAATACTCCGTCAAATACCTGCTGTCATAGTTTCACCCCAGCCAGCAACCAAGCCCTGCGCAGCCGCTCGCTCACTCCCCCACCAGCAGGACTGAGAAGAGAATTGGAAGGGTAAAAGCCAGAAAACTTGTGGGTTGAGATAAAGACAGTTTAACGGAGAAAACAAAAGCCATGCAAAGCAAAACAAGGAATTAATTCACCGTTTGCGAGAGGGAAAGCAGGTGTTCAGCCATCTCCAGGAGAGCACGGCCCTATCATCTGTAATGGTGACTTGGGAAGACAAACACCATCACTCCAAATGTCCCTCCCTTCCTCCTTCTTCCACCCACTTTATACACAGAGTACGATGTCATATGGTATGGAATATCCCTTTGGTCACTTTGTGTCACCTATCCTGGCTGTGTCACCTGTCCTGGCTGTGTCTCCTCCCAGCCTTCCATGCACTACCAATTCCTTGCCAGCATGGCAGTACGAAGAGCAGAAGAGGCCTTGGCTCTGTGTAAGCCCTGCTCAGCAATAACAGAAACATCTCTATATTATCAACCCTGTGTTCAGCGCAAATCCAAAATATAGCTCCATACTAGCCACTGTGAAGACAATGAACTCTAGCCCAGCTAAAACCAGCAGACTTATGTATAAAAATTAGAATCCTAAAATACTACCAATATTGCAGATAAAAATAATTACTGATGTTAACAAAAGAATAAAGAAGGTGATAAGAAACTAAAGGTTTTAGGAAATATTCGCCTCAACTTTAGCTGTCTGAACTGAGATTTCAGTCTAAGGTAGTTGTTTCAGCTTCTAAGGCAAAGCCCATATGTCTATATCCACTTAGATGCCCATGTTACTCATCCCATTTTTCCTCTCCATAGTTCACCTTCTGAAGGCAGCTCCCTCCACTCTATCATCCCTTTTTTTTTTCTTCTCTTTTTTCTCCAGGATTTTCTTTCGAGTCTGTTCATGGATCTTTTCTTTACTTTTTTTGTTTTTAAATTTCTGGACTCTTCTCCCTTCTGTGCTGTTTTTACTTCTCTTTAGCAGTTTTGCTTTTTTTTGCCAGAAGGAAGAGGAATTAGTGACAAATGGGTGAATCCCAGAAGTTCGGTTCCTTATCTGATGTCTCTTACATTATGAACTTTTGTATTTCCAAAATTGGCCTGCAAAGTTCATGAGAACAGAAAACTCATGAGAAAAGACTGTCTTGCATGATTTTGAGTGTTTTCCCCTTTTCATTTGGCAAAGGATAGAATTTGAATAGAAGACTTTGGCACTCTTACTTATAAACATTGCCAGAAACTGGAAGCACAAAGGCATACAAAACTGAAGTAAAATGAAAATAAATTAGCCAAGGGTTTTGAAGCTAAAAATAATTTGGTTTGCAGAGTTCAAGTTTTAAGAAAATGTTCAGGGTCAGGAGCTGGAAAATATCTAATTTGATATGGCTTTAATTTACTGATTGATACAGTTTTTTTTTAAGTTTTACAATTTGGACCTTGTATTCAACAAGAAAGAAGAGTGGTATTTATCCTGTCAAATTTCTGCCTGACTGAGTATCAGCAAGCTCTGTTTTATGTGCTGGATGCAGTTCTTACACCATGGAAGCGATGATCTCTGTCATAAAAAGAATGCACTGGAAGTAACCCGACAAAAGATATTTATTGTCCAGAAAATACAAGTGGGGAGTGTGACTTGCCCAGTTGCAAGGAGTGCTGATAGCAGATGCAGGTGCAGGATTCTGTTTAGAAACAGCTCACACAGAAATAATTTTTGGCCTTTAAGAACAAAGCTTTTTAACACTATTTGTTCTAACAACAACCTGAACTCCAGAAACTGGAGGCTAATTGTAAACCACATGTGGTAAAGAGTTTGAAAGCAGACCGAGGATTACAGCTGTGTGATGAGGTTCATGGTGGTGGTAAGTGCCAACGCCGCTAATAGAAGTTGCCTTCAGCCACCTCTTAAAAAGCAGAATGCCTTAGATTTTATGAGAAACTAAAAGGTGGTTTTATCATCTGATGGAATCAGATCTCTAATTTAGTTTTCTTCAATTTTTTTTGTGTGTAAAATAGTGACTATGTAAATCTAAATATATTTTGTATAGGATAGAATGGCACCTAATTTTTGTTATTAAAAAGGATGTCTATTGAAAATACTAAATTTTTTTGTTGTATTCATAATTAATTTTTTCTAACATGGAATGAAATAAAATGAAAATGGACATCTCAATACAGCTCTGCTATTTTTGAACACCATAGAGGAGTGAAATAGTATACTCTGCTTACACTCGAGCATGTATCTTTGGGCTGACTACCAGATAATTTCTTGTATTTGTCTGAGGCATTAATTTGAATTTCTAGGTGAACTCAGAAAAGAATTTTAAAAAATCCTAAAATACAAGAATTCCAAAATCCATCTTATAATAAATTTATTGGTAAATGTATAATGTGTCAGAGCAGAAACAAATATGAATGATGGAGCACAGGGCAATCTTTCAAAAATGAAGTCATAAAAACTTAATGTGTCTGGAAGAAAATGAAGCCCAAATGTTTCACATTACATTTAGGAAACCAGTGTGTTTTAATACCACTTACAATTTTTTACTGTACAGCTTGTTGTAATGGACAATATAATGGTTGGATGAAAAGAAAAATATTTTAAACCAAACTGAAAGTAAAATTACATTAGCTGCTGCAAATAAAACTGGTTACTGGTTGTAAGATACTCCATGCATGGATGCTCATACAAATGCCTAGTATTATTGTGAATAATGTTGAATGGAAATGCAAGGAAGCTGGCAGTTGAAAGAACCGCAGCAGATAAAACAAAGAAAAGATGTAAATAAAGTGGATCTTACTTCAGCCTAAAGTAGTAGAATTTAATATAACAATAGTTTAAGATCTTGGCATGACACTTAGGCTGTTGCTTGCATGAATCTAAAAACTATGGGACAAAGAACACAAGATCTGGAGTCATATTATGTTTTCAAGGGTGAAGAGCACAAATTTATCCTTGAGATTCCAAGTGGAATGGCTTAATATAACTCTGCAGCTTATGTCATTTTGCAATTATATGCAAATATCAGATGTTTTAGTACATTTTAAAAATCCCATTTTCTCCAGAGAATAATTGTGCATAAGCTATCCATTGATTACTACTTTTATGTGCCTTCATTGAAATATCTAGAATGATTCATGCCCTTGATTCATTAGTGCTTTTAGTGAACCTTTCTGATGAACCAGGAGATCAAGATTTATGAAGGCAAAAGGTGGGGCCAGTCTCAATCAGAGTCTGTTTGCATGGGACAGAGGATATGTTGGGAAGGGCATCTGTGGAACAAACAAGACGTTGAGAAGTAAAGATAAGGAGCAGGGATGATAAGGAGCGGATTAACTTTTATATTTAGGATCTCCTTGACTTCACCAAGCTATATAGGGCAAAATTAGAAACATGCCTATTGGGAGCTTCTGCATCAGCTTCAGAGGAGAAAGTTATGCTGAGGACATATTAGAAGTCTGATTGGTAGGAAACAGAGGAAGAGGCCTTTTCCAAACAACTAGTGGGAACTTTACACCTGCAGGCACCTATTGTTATGGGTGGCCTCAGCAGTCCAGACAACTGCTATGTGGATAATGGGACTTCATGCAGACAACCCAAGGCTGGACTGTGGGGGCAACACATTTCCAATGCAAATGTTGGAGAGGCTGCACAGGGGTGTTAGTCTGGAGGACTTACTGCCCACAGACTGAGGAGGAGTGATGAAAAATGCAGTCACTGGTGTCATCTTAAGCTGCAGAAAGCATAAGGCAAGGGAGTTCAGGATTTGGAGGAAGGCTTGAAACAAAACTCTATGGCTAGGGATCTAGATTTTCAGAGAACAGACTTGGTTATTCAAGAAATTGCTGAGCAGAGTCCTCTGTGATGCAGCCATGCAGCAGAGTGCCCAACACAGCTGGATGACTCCTTCAAAGTGAACTCATTTGAGGGATCAGGAACAAGCCATCCTTTTGTGTGGCAAAACTAGAAATTTCAGCAAAAGGTCAGCTTGACTGAAAGGGTGAATTTTGATGAACTAAAATACAAATGGTGAACACGTTTGAGACAGAAACAAGGACAACAAAGGATGAATATAAAAGGATCATTAAGGTACTTAGGGACAAAATCAGGAAAGTAAAAGCCCAGATAAAGCTAAAAATAGCTTAATTAAATTGAATAAGAAGGAGAAGTTGCAAAGGAAAGATTTGGGGCTGGTGGTGTATAAGAGAAAACATTGTGTGGGTTATATGGAAAAGGCTGAAGTACTCAGGGCCTTTTTCACCTTTCTCATTGCAGGCAAAACCTTCTCCCTGATCCCCACAAATACAGTTTGGGAAAGAGCCAGAACAGTGTGAACAGGTTAGACCCCACTTCATATGGACATGTTCATATTCCTGGGACTAACCTAAAGGTGCTGAAAAAGTTGGCTGCTGTAGTTGCCTTCCTGGCTGCTGTGATTGCAAGACTCCTGTGTGTTGTCTGTGAAAAATTGTGATGAATGGAAAAAGTGAACAGTACAGTCATGTTCAAGAATGGCAAAAAAGAGGATCTGAAACACTGTCAGCTGCTGGCCCACCTCAGTCTCTGTGAAGATCGTGGTGCACGATCTTCTCCTGGAACCCATTTTTAAACTCAAACAGAACAAGGAGGTAATCAGAAACAGACATCCTGATTGCTTTCTGTAGTGAAATGACTGGTTATAAGAATGAGGAGAGAGAAATGGATATGTCTTTAGCAAGGTTTCTGATCCCAGATCTATAATCTGGAAGCTGAGAATGTATGGGCTGGATGATCAGACCATTGGGTGAGTTGAAATGACTCTGTGTTCAAAGTATTCCAGAGTTGATAACGGAGCTGATGTTCCTCGGTGTTTTTATCAGTGACCTGTATAATAAAGCAGAAAGCACTGTTCAGCAAATTTGCAGGCATCACTAAGATAGGGAGGAGCTGTTGATACAACAGAGGACACAATTTCTATCCAGAGTAGCCTTAAGCAACTTGAGAATTGTGCCAGCATGAATTTCAAAAAGAAGAATAACTATTTCCACCTGGAAAACTGGGAACAGGTTGGGTGAGAAGCAGCCTTATTGCAGGAGACCTTGAGAATACAGTGGAGGGCAAATAGAGTTACTGGCTTGAGTAGGTTGAAAAGGTTTCTGGAGGTTGACTTGTTGATCCTTCTGCCATTAGATGGGGTTACTCAGAGCCTTGTCCTGCTGTGTTTGAATATCTCCACACTATAACTTGATACAGTGCTTATCTACCCTCACGTTGAGAATTTTCCCTTATACTGTGTGTCCTTTCTGTGCCTCAGAGAAGAGTAGCTCTGTTCACTCTATACTCTCTCAGTGTATTGCTGTAGATAGCAATAATATATCCCACTGCCTTCTTTCTCTCTACTGACCAAACCCAACTCCCTCAGTTTCTTTTTTAGCATCTTGTGGCTCAGCCTCCTGACTACCTTGGTGGCTCTCATGCTGGAGTGACCCCAGAGGCCAATATCTTTCTTCTACTGGAGTGAGCCCAAAGTGGGATACAGAACATGTGGTCTCACAAAGCTGGAAAGAGGGAATAGTCACTTCCTTTGACTGTTGGCTAAACTCTTTAAATACAGCCCAAAAGCTGGCTGTCTTCCTTTGCTGCATGTGCACACTACTGACTCATTGTCAGTTTCTTTTCCACAGGGACACCAGAGGCTTTTCTGAAAAGCTGCTTGAATAGGAGCCAAGAGTGTACTGCTGTTATGAGCAAGGAGAAGTGGATAATGGGCTACTGCACACATTGGGAAGGTGTGGCCAAAAGATTGGAGGAATTTATTATAACCCTCCACATGGCTCTGGTGAGACTGCATCTGGAATGCTGCAACCTGTTTTAAGTCCCCTTTTCCAGTGGTTGTTGAGAATGGTAAGAGTCTAAAGGAGGCCTTTTTCAATGGTCAGGGATTTTGAACAGACGGCCTTTGCAGAGGGGTTGCAACAGCTGGGCTCATTCAGCACGGAAAAGGGGAAGCTAAGCGATAGTCTGGCAGCAGCCTACAAATTTTTGAGTGGTAGTTGCAAAGGAGCTTAAGTCTTTGCAGTAGTGGTGGATGACATGAGACAACAGCAGAGTTTCATTTTGAGGGGTTGGACTTTGGGAAAAACTTTCAGTGGGACAGTAGAGAAGCAGAGGAATAGTTCATCCTGAGAGCTTGGGTAAACTTGGGGATTTTCAAGCCTTGGCTAGAAAAAGCTATGGCTACCTGATGTAGAACTGGCAATTGTTCCTCTCTGAGTGGGATTTTGAGATCTGCAGGGATTAATTTCAGAAACATTTGTTTCTATAATCCAATGCTGTTAGGCAAGAAGCCCTCAGATGAATAAACTGTGCTGCTAACCAATCACCAATACTTTATAACACTCAAGGTGGCACAGCTGGAAAGAACAACCTTTTCCAAGAACAATGGAATCGTTTTATTCTTTTTAATTTGAACTTGTCTTTAATCATGGTGATTTTGACCTTTCTGTTTAATCTCTGTAGTTCTCCTTAGCTAGAAACAAAACCACTTACACTAGGGTAGCTAAAAATAATACAGGATTAATGACTATTCTGCTCAAAGAAGGCTGAAAGTCTACTGTTACTATTTCTTCACTTATCTGCCATCACATTTCACAGAGGTTAGTGTTCTAAAATGAAAGATGGTGAGGAGGGCATATTTGCTTGGAAGTTATAGTTAATAAGGAGAAACTGATAGTAAGGACTATTGGTGTAGTGGCAACTACTATAAGGACTGAGATTCTTGGTGTTTTGATTTTTAGCTTTTTGTAGATTTTAATATAGCTGGAGTTTTTCTTCACTTCAGAACATTACTTTCTCACAGTTTGTGTGTCACATTCCTGAAGCTTTGGTTCAACCATCTTTTAACTGTCTTTTCAAGGCAATAGATATTCAGCAAGAACATTCCATTGGGACCTGCACCCAGACTGGAATAGCAAGAGATATGGTAGACAAGATAGAAGGCTCAAGGTCCTTGGAGGGGCTCCAGTGGGGTAGTTCTGAGAGTAGTATCAGGGCATGAGGGGTCTCAGGATTGGATGTCCCTATTAGATGTGATTATTAGTAAAAGACATAAAAGTGTAAGAATTCTGTATGTGGGGCGTGCATCTTTGTGCTCCATGGCCAGGAGGCCTTCATTAAAAGAGCTGCTCTCTATCTTATCTAATATTGCCTGGAGAGTTTTTTCTCTCCGTTCTTCAGATTGGGAAATTGCACCCTGAGAGTAATTCTTCTGCTGGTGCATTTTGGAGAATTCCCCACAAACCAATTTCAATGAAGTTTTTGGCAGGATACGAACAGCTGTTCCAAGCTGATCAAGTGGTTGGAATTTTTTGAAATATTACGGTCTATGATGTTTACTGGAGTCAGACAACAAGAGTTAGTTCTCTTGTTCTAAAAAGTGAGTTAATTTTTAAATGCTTAAATAGCATTCAGTTCTAGACCAAAAGGTATGTCACATTGTAATAAAACAAGTATTCCTTTGCAAAAAGAAAGCTTAACTAAAAAGCTGGAGAACTATGCCATTTGGAATGCAGATATAAAGTTAAGCACCAATCTGTTTAGATTGGAGTAATTCAAGGAATGGGAAATTTCAAAATGTTTTGCAGTAGTCAATATTGTTGAAGAGGTGACCTGGCAAAGCACAAAGCCTGTGTGTCAATTGCCAGAAAACCATTACTTCTATGCTATAAGCCATAAAAATTTCTTTTTGTACTCAAATCTGCAAGTCTTTACTTCAATACATCTCCAATAATAATACCAAATGTTAGGTTATGTATAACAGTGTATGAACCCCCAGTTCTACAAATACACATGAGCTGCATATTCTGCTTGTGAAAAGTCCCAAATCAATGGAAATATTTTTGCATGTGAAATTAAGTATGCATATAAGTGGGAGATAAAGGCCTGAGCAGTGTGTTTGCTTTCTTTCATCTGTATTTATGTTAGAGCCCTGCCATGGGAAAACCATTAGATGTTTTTCAAGGAAATCTAGTTCAGAAAATTCTAGTCCTGTTTCAAGGATTGAGATGAAGTCAAATACAGGCTCTTATAAGTCTCTTGGAAAAAATGTCCCTTAACTAGAGATTAAGAAAGAAAGAAGCTGTTTGGAGGGAGTTCAAACTGGGAAGTGGGCCATTATGGTCCTTCCTTTTAAACCATTACTACCTGGATAGATGTCTACAACATCCAAGGTATGCAGAAAATAATCCAGAAATATCTGATGACCTGACTTCTGCAGAACATCTAATAAAGATGAATGGTGCAGAGCATAGACTGTGACCTCCGTCTCATTTAAGGAACTATGACAAATACATTAGGATTCTGATTGCAATTTTTAACCCAAGATCTGCAGAGCCTCCTTATTTGTGGTAAAACTCTTCGTCCCTTTATGGAATAAGCAGTACTAGTGCAGTTATCAAAGTTCTCTTTTGTTTTATTTTGCAAGTTAGGAAGGTACCAATGAGAAGTTGCTTTTAAGATAGAGTATGTTCACTAGAGATTTTGAGAAGTGTTTTCAATAAATTTGAAGAATGTTTTGAAGCAGGTGAGAAAAATAAACAACTGTATTTCTGCAACAGAACTTTATCCTTCTTATTCCTACATATCTGGATATACCATGTTCCTGCTGTATTATAAAGCCCCATCTCCTAGCTTTCTGCTAACTCTCCCTGCTTTAGACTTTCCTCTTCCATTGTTGTGCGTACAGCTTGACTTAAGCCCTTTGGAAATTTTTTGCACTGTACTTAATTGTCTCTTGTCAAATAGCTCACAAGAAACCAGCTGAATTTCTAATTCCCAGATGGGAAAAACCCGTATAGAATCATAGAACAGTTTGGATTGGAAGCGACCTTTAAAGGTTATCTAGTCTAACCTCTCTGCAGTAAGCAGGGAGGTTTTAGTAAGATGTCCCTGCAGTAAGCAGGGACATCTTCGACCATAACAAGTTGCTCAGGGCCCCACCCAACCTGACCTTGAACGTCTCCAGGGATGGGGCATCTACCACCTCTCTGGGCAACCTGTTCTATTGTTTCACCACACTCATCGTAAAAAGTTTCTTCCTTGTATCTAGCCTAAATAGACCCTCTTTTAGTTTAAAACCTTTACCCCTTGTCCTATGGCAGCATGCCCTGCTAAAAATCTGTCCCTGTTTTTCTTATAAGCCCCCTTAAAGCACTGAAAGGGCAGAGTAAGGTGTCTCTAGAGTCTTCTCTTCTCCAGGATGAGCAATCTCAGCTGTTTCACCCTTTCCTCACTGGAGAGATGTACCATCCCTCTGGTTGTTTTTGTGGCCCTCCTCTGCATCTCCTTCAATAAGTCCATGTCTTTCCTGTGGTGAGGACCCCAGTCCGGGACACAACTCTCCATGTGGGATGTCATGGGGGCCAAGTAGATGGGGATAATCACCTCTCTTGACCTGCTATCCATTCTTCTTTTGATGCAGCACAGGATATGGTTGGTTTTCTGGGCTTCAGGTATGCATGGCTGGGTCATTCACCGGAATCCCCACCTTCTCAGCAGAGCTGTTCTCAATCCATACATCCCTCAGCCTGTATTGATACCAGTGTTTGCTCCAACCCGAGTACACTTGATCCTGTTGAACTTGTGAAGTTAACATGAGACCAATTCTTGAGCTTGTTCAGGTCCCTCTGAATGGCATCCTGTTAACTCAGATGTGTCAACCATACCATTCAGCTTGAGAAAGACTGTGCCTTCTGATTGTGAATTCCCATCATTCCAAAGGAAACAGAAGATGTTAGGCGAATCCACTAAGACAGGCTTTTATTCTATTCCTCGTTAAGTCTTGTTAACCTGCTTGTTATGTTGAGGTCTAGTAAGAAAATCAGTGACAGTACATGTGGTACTAATCACATTATTTTCTCCTCTAAATTACAATGCTACTAAACTTTCTAATAAGAAAGCCTGCCATTTTTGTGAACAAAAAGCTATTACATGTTTTTTACATTTCTTTCTGTTGCTATATTATTCTGAATGCCTAAACCTACTGCTCATTTTATTGGCTTAACTAACACACACTAGTGCTTCTGGTACACTCTACTAAGTTTGAAGTCTGGTGGAATAGAATGCAACAAAACACTTAAAGGGTCAAAAATATGTAGGTGCAGTTTTTAGCTTTTTTGCTTACAAAATACTATCCTATTTTGTTTTGGGGAAAAAAAAAAAGGATTATGAACAAAGATGTAGCTTTGCCAACACACCATTAGGAATCAAGGATACAAAAACAAGGAAAGGAGTCTTGGCATTCCAGGTCACTCGTATTTATAGGTATTTTTTAAAACATACCTATTATTATTATAAATATTTTAAAAAAAATCTCAGTTCAAATGTGAATGAAATTAGTAGATTATGACTTTTTTGTGTCATCTAACAGCCAAATCAAGGAAATAAGAGGAAGCTGAACTTCCTCTATGTCAATGGTAAACTAGAAGTAATAATCCCTTGTTGAGTTTTTCTTATGAAAAGTGAGGAATAGAAAACAGCCTCCATCCCAGTTCCTTGCCCATAGGATTTGTAACACCAGCACACAGAATAATCTTGGACCTGCAGTGATTGGTTGTGATGAACCAACAGCAACCTCCAAAGATACCATCCTAATAAATCTGACTGCTGGCAGCTGTGACTGCTTCAGCATGATTTCAAGGTGAAGTCTCCTCCTTACAGACCCTTACAGGTTCCTAAAATTCTACTAGTAAGATGATTTAAAATTAGGAATTCCAATACTGCTGATTTCTTGACTGGGAAAAATCTGCACTATGCAGGCAGTTAATCACTAGCTTTTGTGAAAGAATATTATTTAGTTGAATTGACTTACTATAAAGTAGCCCTGGTTTAGAATTTCTCATTCAATTTGCTATGGTTGCCTGACAAATAAGAGACTCTGCTGCAGAGAGTGAATCTCATATAATGGTAATGTGTACTTGTAACAAACAGATAATATAGAAATGCCAAAACCAATGTTTTACCATTGTTTCTGCACGTCAAAACTTCCTACCAAAAATTCTCTGTCAGCTTTCCTGCCAGAAGCTCTTACCAGAGTTTCTTGCTAGAGTTTTCCAGCCAAAAGATCCTGCTATTGTTTACAATTATCATATCTCTACAAACATCTGAATAGGGCTACATGCCGAGAAACCATGTACAACCTCCTTTGAACACCATAAAACTCGAGGAAAAATTTTGGAAAATCAGGGGGAGGAAAGGGGAGAGAACCAGTTACCCTAGCCGAGAATCTCTCCCCGCATCACCCTCACCTTTTCTCTGCCACCACATGCTGTCTGCCTGCCACCTGAGACTGAAACTCTGCTGGCCTGGAGAAGAACTGACACCCACCGTGCCACATGCATGAGTTATACCTTATCCTTCTACCCTTACTGAGGGCCGAAAAGCGCTGCTGCTGCGGATCGGGACCCTCTCCGGCCTGGGACATGGTTCAAACATAAGTGGCAAAGCTGCACGTCCTGGCTGCATTCCTGAGAACTAAGCTGCTAAGACACACACCCCCCAACCCGGCTCAGCACAAAGGTAGTTTTGTGGTAACTCTCCTATGCTTCTAAAACTAATCTTAGCTTTTTCCAACTTTTCCTTAATTTCTCCTCTTTCTCTTTGCATCTCTTAGCATCTGGTATCAATGGATAACTCTGTGTGACTTTTAATTTTGCTGGGGGGAATATCCAAATCTGAAGTTCTTTCTGCAACATTTAAGCAGATTGTAGCTACTTTATTTGGTGTCCTACTTCTGATCACCTTTTTGTTGGCCTATTATGACCACACTGTGGCTCAAATATGCTTTCTGGTGTCTTTGTTCTCTAGGTGAGAGCTTCCCATATTTTCTCATTTGGGTCCTGCCATTGTGCAGATGGTAAGTATTAACAGCAGCAGTAGCTCTTGTTTCTGTTGTGGCCCGTATGCACATGAGGAAAGGCTTACACCTTGACTCTTGCTCC